TACTTATACAGATACATAAAAACAAGTAGGTCTAACTAAAAAATAACCAGAATATATGTTTAGAGTAAAGATTGACTACTTGTGTTTACACAAGCACACAATTTCAAATCTGCTGAGCTTGCTGTGCAAGAAAATGTAAAATATACGTATAAAGAAATATAACAGGAAGTACTGCTAAAACATAAACTAAATGTTAAATAATGTAGATATTGGTTTACAAAAATTCTTCAGATTTGGAAATTTGGAAGGAAGACATAATTTTGAAATTAATCAACAAATCTGTTAAAAAATAAAAAATAAAAGTTGCACTTTTTTACTAGAGGAATTTGTTGAATAACTTCATAATTATGAGTTTAACTAGTTGGAGGTAATGCTACACTTCTCTGCTTCCTGTCCTGCTCATAAAAGGTAAACATTATAAACCCACCATTCATTTTCTACACTATTTGGAAAACACAACACAAATCTAATATAACAAAAGTAAGTTTAACAACAAACATGTTAGCATCAAGCCGTAGCCATGTCTGTTTTAGAGACTGACAGCTAACAAACATGTTAGCATCAAGCCGTAGCCATGTCTGTTTTAGAGACTAGCTATCTTGTTTTAATGACCCTTTGCTCCTCCATTAATGAGGGGACCCCTCGGGCTAGTAAAAAGTTGCCTAATTCCGTCATTTTCCACCAATGTGTCATTGGCCACCTCAAACAACTCACATCTTTGTCAGTGAAGCTGAGAGCTCCACTTCTCTTCCTTCATGGTGCCCATCTACATTAAGATCCAAAATTCTGAGAAAAAAAGTCAGAATTCTGAGAAAAAAAAGTCTTAATGCTGAGAAAAAAGTCAGAATTTTTTGCTCATATTAAACTGAAATAAAATTTAAAAATCACTTAACTTTTTTTTTTTTTCAGTGGCCCTAATCCTCTTCCGTAGTCTTGGGATGATCACTCATCCAATATTTAACTGCTAACTTTCTCTAGACATTTGCCACGCTAGCCAAAATGTTTTTTTTTTAGTTTTTTTTATATCTCATTTCAGTACAATGCCACCACCAACTAAAAGGCTGAAACAGCAGTAGGACTTACTCAGATTTTTTAAAAAGAGAAACGTCAGTGTGATTAACCTAACACAACTTGTGTTGAAATTAGCCCGGTCTGGGCGTTTGTTTTACGAGGATTTTTTATTTTTTGCGTGGTTTTGATTCGCCGAAATGGACAGGTGTTATACCTGCCACGCTCCTGATCGTTAGTTAAAACCACAGGGAGAGTTAACTTTAATTCTTAGCAGCGGTGGCCGCATTGGTTGTGCAGCGGACTGCTGCACAACCACTAATTAACCAACTAATTAACTTCTGCATCTTTATTTCCTCAAATAAACTGCTGGCTCCTCTTTTTAGACTAGAAACAGATTAACACAACATTGACAACTCTGTAGTTTTCTCTGTTCTGTACTGCAAACTGGAATTAAAGGCGCCATTTCTACCAAAGGTCTGGACAGACTGGCGACCTGTCTAGGGTGTACCCCGCACCAGCACCTCCCGACCCCACTAAGGGACAGGGTGTACAGAAAATGGAAGGATAGTTGGATTTCTTCCAAAGGTTTAGAATGCGTTTTTTTGAACCAGATGCTTCAAAGCACCCTGTCCATAATTCTTCAACACACTGTCAGCTCCCTCTGTCAGTCAATCTATATAAATTCATTTTTGACCATTATTGCAATTTTGACTAAATAAAACATATCAAACTTTGCACTTCTGTGGCCTACTGAATTGTTTTTAATCCAACTGAAATATTTGATTTTCTAATGCGTATGCAGACACTAAATATGCTGAAGCCCTTGAAAGACATCTCCCTTTGCTTAATAAAAGACTCCAGTCATTTTGTTTGGTGATATGCTCACATCTTATGAACAAATGCATTATGTAAATTTTAAATGCATTATTTTTGCAAGACACATTTATAAAGGAATAAAGTAACAGATTAAATAGCCTTTTTTTTTAGGTAGCGTACTTAAGATATGTTTCTGTTGATGAATATTTACGAATCTCAGGTTTCCGACATGTGTCCCCCCCAATTGTAAACATATTCCTACGCCCTTGACTACCAGTCATTGGTCCCCACAAATATCTGTAAGTCTTCACAATGTATTTGACAACTCTGGTATTGACTAAACATTTTCCCTTTCAAATTTGGCAAATAATCCAGCTAGCACATCATGCTAGCTACTCCTGGCTTGCTGTAGCTTGAACCACATCACACAAGAGTAGCTACTTATACTTAGGTGGCTTTCAATGGTAGAATCTCAAAAATCAGGACACCTTCAGTCGATCATCTGATTGCCCCAGGACGGGAGAAGAAGCATTTATTTAAAAGATCAAATTGACATGCTGTCCACGTATCAAGCGCTGAACATTCCAACAGAACATATCTAGCTTTTTCTCAACTCTCATTCCAATCTGGGCGTTTATATAGTTTCAACATTGCACTGTGTGGATGCACGTGCACGACTGGACGCTCTGAAGAACTTCCTGGAAGCTTCTTGGCCTGTGACCAGATTACGTGCGAGTTGGCCTTTAAGACCCTATTTTTGCCAAGATTTGTACGTGACTTCCAGCCTGCTTACTCTGTGTTACCAAGTGAGCTTAAGGTCACAATACCATAAGGGAACACAATTTGCTTCTGTAGTACGTCACACCATTAACTACCTTCCCTCTCCCTTTCTCTTCCCCTTAAGCCCTGAATACACCAAACCCGATTCTACATCCGATCTGACAGAAAATTATGTCGTAAGAGGTCATGGAGCTTGATGCTCATTGACAGTAAATGGAAATGAAAACACTCAACACGACTTCTTGCAAAACGGTTTCCGTATCTTTGACCAAGATAGAGCCCATGTGTATTTTGTTAGACTATGTAGCAATTCAGCCGCATTTTTCATGGCTCTGGTGGGTAGAGAGACACAATTTCAAAGTAAACAACATCCACTTCAGGGAAAATACAAAGTTTAATATCTCAATTGTTAGAAATAAATTAGGTTGGAAAATCCCTGTCATGATCTTGGCACTGATGGCTGGTCTAATTGCTCACTTCATTCACCTGTCAAACTCTGCCTGGTTGTTCATTACTGCTCATCTAATTCACCTGCTGCTGCTTCTTTTTATAAGGCTCAGTCCAAGCCATCATGGCCAGATTATTGCTTTTTTTAATGTTGATCTCCGGGCCAGTGGAGAGATAGGGTTTTTATCGTTCCGTAGTTTTTCTGATTTCCTGATCCTGTTCTGCCTCTCAACCACTGAGTCTCCCTGAATTATCTGTGGACTCCTATAACCCATAACCAGCATGTTCCTGTTCTGACCGGTATCTCTGACCGGGCTTCGGACTTCTGGACCTCTGAGCCTTCTGCGTCTGATTTGTTTCCCAGACTTGGCTCAGACTCCTGCTTGTCCTCCATGAATGCAACATTGGGGATATTCTGGCAGTGTCTTCCACATCTAGATGGCAGCCCATCGGCTGGATCCTACCGCGTTCTCAGGTGGTCAGATTATCATGGTCACTTTCCTATATTTTTCTACAACCAAAGTTTCGAGTGATGGGCAGTGCCCCGCCCTAGTACTGATACTGCGGATCCACAGCCCGATCTGTGTTTTAAATAAATGCTGTCCCACTGTCTGTCTCGCCTTCAATACTTGATACTTCTGTCTTGCTCTATGGAACTCACGGCATACATATCAGGTAGAGCAGGCCAGGCATAAACAATCAATAAAACATTTTAATATACAGAATTTTTGACCCAAGGTTGGAGTTCAGTAGGACAGAAATGGATAGAGTGAAATAGTGGTCCTCTTTGAGCCTAAAAAAACAAAGAACAAAACAAAAATAAACACGAGTGACAGTAGGCAACAGGAAAGCACAGCTTATCACACTCCCCTCTTTATGAAAAAAACTTAACATAAATCGTTCTCTGAGAATCACGTCTTAGCCTCACTCAGTACCTATATAAACATTCTCACAGCCTTTGTTCAGTTTTCTTTTTATTTAAACATAGTTCATACCATATTGTGTATTTATAAAAACCATCTATCTGTTCTGGTTTCAGAAAATTCCACGCAGGCCGGTCATGAAGTGGGATTTGATGAGCTGCCACACAAGCTGCTTTTTTTCTTTATCTAACACAGTTTTCATCTTTTGGTTTTATCTTAAGTTCCATATGTGCAGCATATGAGACTCGTTGGGAACTAAGTCATTTGTTTCTCATGGCTTCCACGACTCATTTGTGTTTACTCTGCTGGTCAGCTCTACTGAAATATCCACTTCCAATTTCTCTCACGGTTCTATGGCTCGAATGAAAGCAGAACCTGTTTTTCAAAACTCCTAAAGGCTAAGACAATTTTACTGCTTGTTACCCTGCTAATTTAGCCTTGTGTAGTAAGACAACCTAAATTTAACTGAGGCCACCAAGGTTGTCATTTACACATTTTCTGTATGCACTGATTGCAAAACTCTGCATTGAAAATAATGTCCTGGAGAATTTCATATCAATACAACTGCCTGATTTCAATCATCTCTTCACTTTTATGGTTCAAAAAAATGCATTGTTTTGCCTTCACATGGGGAGAGCAAGATTTGTATTTTAACCCATGCTCATTTTATTATATTTCATGAGGCTGCAGGCTTTCAGAGCTCATTGGAGAGGAAAACTCTCATCCATGCAAACTAATGGAGCAGATAGGCTACATAGTCATTTACTTAATTTATTAATAAACTTATTCAATTTCTTCCTGCATGAGTATATTAATTTTCAAGTTTACATAACTACAACAGGTCTCATGCAAACAGCAATTATTGCTAAACCCTGAATAAACTCTTCAGACCTTTGTATTTTGAGAGAGATTATCAACACTGTAGTGTTCTTTTTCTGTCATGGTAATAAGCAATTTATTTAAGTTGCAGAACTAATTAAAAAAGGAGCTGCTTGTTCTAGTGTCTCTTTTTTTCTATTTTCTTTAATAAAATCACATTTCTGAATATTGTCACTATAAAACACAGAGAATACTTTTTCTTCCACAGCAGGAATATAAAAAGCTGACACTTTTCCTTTTAGTCCTCACTGTAACATTTTTTATTATTTGAACTGTCAGATTTCCCAAATGTGTTCCTCGTAAAGCAACCCTCTACTACCATTGCACAGAGTAAATGTGAGAGTAAGGTGATTTACTGTGGGTGTATAAGCAGAGCCAGCATGCACCAATGTACAGCACCAACCATCCTGAACTTCATTTGTCAAACTCCACCATAAAGTAATCAAGAAGGGAAACGGCTGCAGCACATGAATTTCATGGTTTCACAGATGCAGAGACGTCTGTTGAATTCAGCTATTGTTACCTCTTCATTGACTTCAAGCACATTTGTTTTTTAGATATATAAATGTTTTTCTTTTATATTGTTTTTTCAAGCTCCAAACATATTTTTTTTTCTTTATGCAAATCTTCACTATTGCAGTACTGAACTAGAGCCTGTGGTGAGCCTCATATAAGATGCACACTGAAGGCTGTTACATTTGAATGAAAATTCTTTAAATAAAAAAGTGTTAAAAAATGCCAAAACATTCACACACTGTTGATTTTGTAGGTTTTTTTTTGTAAGCTTTTGTTCCAGAATTGTCCTGTATATAGGTCCAACCCCCTAAAGATGCATGATAGTAGTTGCACCGTTAACATTCTCATCCGTGAGCCACAGTCCTTGCAGCTTGGTGTCTGTCTTGGGAGGATGGTGACCAGTAGTCCAGGCGAATGGTGCAGGTCCGGTGGGTGAGGTCTGATGGTTGTGTCTGAGGGTGGACAGGCAGGTGAGCTCAGGCAGGAGGGCTTTAATAGTTCAGAGGCCTGTAACCTCACTGGTTCCTTGAGGTTGACTGATAAGTCTCTGACAGGTGTCCAGAGCGAAGAGGTCTCTGGATTGGTTTCTGGCTTGGGATCCCGGGTTCTAAGAGAGGGGGCAAGATAGTTCAGGGTTAGGTTTGGCTAAGCTAAGAAGCAAGGCTTGGTAAAGGATCAGTTATACCACGCTGGAGCATTAACGAACTGATGCCCTCCTCCTGGTTCCAGCTCCATAAGAAAGGTGGGAATCAGCTTGATGAAGAACACCTGCCCGTCCAGCCCTGCACAGAGGAAAAAAAGGAAAATCCGGCCTGCACCCAGTCCTAGGAGTATGACACTGTTATGACCATTATCCATTTCATTCACCTGTCTAACCTTAGTACGTTAAAACACCTGGGACACCAGTCTTTCTGATTACCTGATCCTGACCTGTTCTGCTTCTCAACCACTGAGCCTGCCTGTTCCTTTTCTGATCCGTTTGCCTGACCTGGCTTCGGATTCCTTGACCCCTAGGTCTACCTGTTTCTGTTCTGATCTGTTTGTCTGACCTGTCTTTGGACTTCAGTTGGATTCTATTTTTGGATTGTACCTGGATTTGTCTCCTGACTTCGCCCTCAGGATTAGCCTGCCTTCCGTCTTCTGCTCGGATCTGATCTCCTAGGGCTGGGCGATAATTCAATAACGATATATATCGATCGATAGACGTGTGGAGCAATAGAAAAAAAGAGGGTAGATAAAAGTTCGATAAAAAAGAAACGCAGTTTTCCTTCCTTCTCATTGTAGCCTAGCATGTAGGTTTATGCTAGTCACTGCTTCCTCCCAACCAATCACAATCGCGGACCCAGGCACGCTGTCACGAAGCGCCGCCCTCTCAAACCACAACATAGAGCACATGAAGCTGTGCAGCAAGGAGAGGCGGAGGAAATTGTTTCAAAGAAAGGTTTTTCTAGTTCGGCAGTCTGGCAGTATTTCGGTCATGGCAAGTCGGACAAAAAACAAACTACAGTCATCTGGAAAATGTGTCGGGAACCAGTGAAAACCAGTCTGATAACGAAACCAACTTTTTTTTATCATCTCAGCCGCTCACAGCTGCAGGAGTATGAGCTGTGTAGGCCCCGGTGCGGCTCTCCTCCAAGGAATCTTCGGAAAATATATATATATTTTCAGTTCTGGGCAGTTTCCCACGTAGTTCTAACAATTGAGAGAAAAATGCTGAGGGGCCAGAAACTTCAAAGTAATAACTCAGGTTAAAGCAGGAAACGGGGGCGGCAGTGGGGGGGGCATTTATTTATTTGTTATAATTATTTTGGTCACTTTTGTGGTCACTATAGTTTATTCTTTGTCAGTATTTAATAACATAACTCAGGTCTCTTAAGTTATTTTTCTTTAAAACAATTCTGTTATGGTTAAAAAAGTTGGTTAAATAAAGATTTAATTCGAAGTCTGTGTTTGTGTTTTTTATTAAAATTAAATCATTTAGCAATATTATAAAAAATCCAGGCAGAGCTGCACATAAAATATGGTTTCAAATCTTTTCAATAATTATCAATATCGATCTATATGCATTTTTTTTTATCAATAAGCTTTTTTTCTATATCGCCCAGCCCTATGATCTCCTGTTAGTTCCGTGGTCTTCAAGGCTTGGGCTTCTGGAACTCTCTGTGCGGCAACCGCTGTGTCTGATCAACAGTTCAGCTGGTATCCCCCTCATTCTCTGGGCACGGACTGTACACTAAAACAGAGTTTTCTGCCTTTAGACACCTTAGGTGCTGCTATAATATTAAAATTTAAGTTTTATTGATCTCACATTGGAGAAATTTACCTCTGTGTTGTGCAAAAATAATGTCCTGCAGATAATGAATATATGGTTAACTAGAACTGGAGTTATAGTTAATTATTTATCCTATTCAACATCGAAGGCAAAATCAATTTAGTGTTCTTAGGTGGATAATTATAGCCTTGAATTATCTACTTACCGGTTGCTGATTCACCTCTGGAGGGTTCCTGGACCGGCTGTTAAAATCCAGGTATCCACCAGTCTAGCTAGTGGCCCAGGTTAAGTTATCAGCAAAGCTATTAAATTATCAATAAAGAACCTTCTATCTTTGTTTATTCGCACTATTACCAAAAGGGGGTGAATTCGCCCTGAGTGATAAACCCTCCGTTATATGAATGACCAAAACCACTACAGGTTAACCAATGATGTCTTTATTCTAATAATTCAGGTTTACAGAAATCTAACATCTATGCAAACACTACACGCTACTAGAAAAATAAACACGAGGTAGATTAAATGACTAGTTTAAAAGAAAAATCGAAAATAAAGAATTAAAAGAAATAGAAAACAAAGAAATAAAACCATAAGAGTCCGTTTACTGGCGTCTGAGATTGTCCAAAATATGCCAGATATTAATACATTCACTAATGTCCGCTAGCAGCAGGTGTGATAATAGTGCAATTACTCATGTAAACTAATACATCCAATTTAAAATCAGCAAATGATTAAATGCATTAACAAAGCAGCAGGTATGATGATAACAGTGCAATTGATCATGTAACATTAACACATCCAGCT